TGAAATACACTTCTGTTTTTGTAATTTCTTTTATGAAGTTAACTATTTACTATGCTATGTTTTAATAGATAAATAAGATCTTTAAACCCACAAAGTTGATTTGGAAATACGAAGTTATTGCTGCTTTCCAGAGCAAATCAGACACAAGCCACTAGGTGTCCCTAAATGTAAAATAAAAGCAGTCAAGAAGGTAGGTGAGGCCATGTAAGGGCACATGGCACAGCAATGAAAGAGACTGGAAAACATTTCCTTTCATAGGGAACAAACTGACAATCAGCTACTGAGCACAAATGTTTGATTTGGCCTCTGATAAGCTAAGATTCTTTTGAAACTTATTCCTTCTTTATTAATTTAAGTGCAGTTTAATTTTTGTGTGATAGCAAGCAATTTTCGATAAATCATACCAATGAGTAGCAATGTTAACATCAAAATAAAAACTTCCGAAAATCTTGGTTAACTTAAAACGGATTGCAAAAAAGAAAGCACCTATTTTTACAAAATTTATATTTCCTTGCATTATTTAAGGTCACTTTTTCTGAGCTGTCTTGCTGCACAAAGGGGTCAATGCTTTCTGGGCCATGTGAGGTCAGTAGTCCAGATGCCTCCATCAGTGATGAGACAGAGGTTGCAGTGGGGGCAGAACTGTCCCCAAATTTAAGGACCATAATGACATACTGTGTGAGTATGTGATCCTCTGCTCAGTTAGTGTAGTGGTACAATGACAGGTTTGTACAGATTCAGTTTCTATTCATGCAAAATGTTAAAAATATTTATCTTTATTTTCAATACATTCTTGATTAGAAGATCCACTGTACAGATACTAATTCCAACACTATTTGTAAAAGACAGATAAGTGGTAGTTTTCTCAGTATTTTTTAAATTTAAGTCAAGGAAGGAGAGATGTGAAGTGACATGCAAAATTTGTAGACAAAACCCCTAAGGTTAATAAATGAATAATCTATTTATTTCTAAAGTTTAGGACAAAAATAAAGATAATATGGTCTTCTCAATGTCTCTAAGTATTCAATTATGTAAATTTTTTTATTTGAGGCACTTATTTTTAGTTTGAATACCAATTTTCTGCAATATAGTACCAAACTTGTGAGATAGGTCTATTTTTAGTCTTACAGCATATTGTCTCCTGTGGCTATCACAAATATGACAGGTAGAATATGAATCTATGACAAGTTCTTGTATTTTTGTTTGTGTGAAAACTTTAGGTTTTTTTATTGCTGTGGCTTGTCTTCACTACAGTTTTGGAGGTTCATAATAGATGCTTCAATAGAATTTATATTCTTGATGTTTAATAACAGATACTATTTTGAAGGAGGCCCCTTCATATGTTTCCTCTTGGAAAAGGGTCAGTGGAATGCTTTGAACTCATTTATCAAGGTGATTCCTGTGAAGCCTAGAATACATAGTCATGCCTATCTTTTGGAGGCAAGGACAAAACTGATCTAATTTGTAGTTCCTATCTTCAATATTGCTCATGGTATTTCAGGGTCAGAAATCAACTGATTGATTTTCTGTTTATCCTGTTTCTTTGATGATGTATCTCTTGATAGCATATTTTGTTACAGAGTTCATTATTTCTATCTTTTATCACTTATGAAGTCTACTGAAAATTATAATATACATCTGGGAATGCAGAATCTATATTTCTGAAAGGTAGAAATGAACTGCCTGGAAAAAGGGATTTTTTTTTTTTTTTTTTTTTTTTTTTTTTTTTTTTTTTTTTTTTTTTTTTTTTTTTTTTTTTTTCTGATTGAATTCCTGCTCAGGGGTTTCAGGTTTCTGTGTCATAAGGATCACATAATGATAATATAACTATTTATCTTTGAATTTGATCAGAATTGTGTCATTTTTCCCTCATGCTAGACAAAAATCTTCTCCCACTAGTTCTTATTTTAAGCCAGTAACTGGCTTCAAGGGGAATACAAAAACCACTTCATGACCCACTCTTCTCAGGTGACTGGCATATTTCTTCATGGGCAAGTGTTAAGGAGGTTCTGGTCAATTTTGGTCAGCTGAAAAATTCACTCTCTGAATTAATTTGCAAAGGAACAAATTTTCTTTCTCAAGGGAAGAATTTCAGAAAAAAGATAGTTAATATATTGGTGTTACAAGGCCATAAGTTCTTTAAAACCAAACATGGGTCAGCATAAAATTAGCCAAGAAAAGAGAGCTCGATGGTGGTCTCAGACAAAAATGTAGGGGATGCGAGGAGACTGTTCCTACACTCTGTAGTAACAATTAAAATTTGGAAATTTTTTTTTCTCACCAGGGTTTTTTAAAATATTCTCTTCTATAACTGAAATATCTTTAAACAACAATAAGTTATGTTTTCATTTTCCTGTGAAAGTTGGGAGGTTGTCTTCCACATTTTTTTGCAATCAGTATTAAAATGTGCTCTGTTTTCCTTTTGCGAAATAGCATATTAGAATCTATGAGTTCATGACTTAATTATTGCATTACAAGTATCCTGCAGAGGAGAAACTTCCTGAGAAGAACAATATGTAGTTTTAATGCCAAATAGGTGAATCATCAGAGTGAAACATCTTAATAACAGACTCCTTAATAACAGCATTATACATAATTGCTCTCTTCTATGGAATGGTGAACTGAAACTATAAGCAGTTTTGAAATAAAAATAATTTTTTTTCAGTTAAAAAATGCAATGTAAACAATTAATTTTGCTTTTTTTTCAATTTTTTTTCTACATTCTTGATTCTGCATATAGGTCTGTGATGTTGGGTCCTTTTAACTGAAGTCAACATATAGGACTGAAGTGTTATATCAGGCATTAAATAATAACTGTAATATTGAAAGGAGAAAACCCTGGGGAAGGCATGGCAGAGTGATAGGGTAAGTACTTGAGGTACTGAAGCATGGATTTTGTCCTGCAGCTTCTACTCTTATGCCCTTTTGCCAAACACCATTTTGACAGCTTGTTCCAGCACAGTGCTCCTCACTATTCTTTTGTTAAATATAATAAATGCTTTTTCCAAATGAAAGAGCATTTGTGCATGCCCTATTCCCAGTCCACAGTGACCTTCTGCCTATGTTCAGGTATTCTTTTCTTATTTCTTACCATAAAATCATAACATCTTTCTTAATTGCTTATGTAAAAAACAGTCATGGCATCACAGTAAACTAAATGAACAATAATGGCCACAGTTGCAGCTGCAATCCAAGGATTCAAGGAAGAAATTAGCTTTCCATATGATGGGCCCTGATATCTGAGAATGGGCATAGAGAAAGGAAGAACCAGGTTTACACAGTTCCAGATGGATACAGAGATGCAACTGTGTAAGTCTGATTCATGCTAAGGCTTACTGTAAACTCTACTTACCTAACCTTACTAAGCAGAGATTAGGTTTTTGTTCCAAGTAAATATTGTTTCTCATGGATCCAAATGCAGCCTTGGCATCAGTGCCTCATCCTGTGTGTACCAGACTAGCTTTGGTAACTTCACTAGAGCTCCATTGTTTGTGTAAGGTGGAAACCTGTCTCTAAGACTTATCAGTCTGCTGTAGGAGACTTGTTCAGAACAGAACTCAGAAAAGAGATATGTAAATATATTAATCTAAAACACAAGACCAAAATGTAATAGCTTAATAACTTCACGTTGTGGCATAGTAGCATAACCCTGAAACAACGTAAGTACTTCTTATGATACTTCTATGCAGGGAAAAAACCTACACACATTATGTATAGAGACTGTAGGCTTTCATGAGCTCCTGAATTAAATTTACTTCAGTGTCACTCTTAACAATTTGACCTTGTGGACTATCACAGAATCACAAGTAAGGAAACTCTCAATATCATCTAGTCCAACATCCCTGCTTAAAACAGGGTAAGCAAGAGCAGGTTGCTCAGGGCAAAAACCTCCACAGCATTTCTGGACAACCTATTTTAGTGCTAAATTACCCTCACAGTAAAAAAAAAAAAAAAAGTGTTTTCTGTTTCTGTGAGTTTCAGTTTCTGTGAGTTCAGTGCCTCTGGCCTGTTCACCTGTTATTAGATAATAATTAGAAGAGTCAGTCTTGTTTACACCTCTCATCAGGCTTTTATAAACATTCATTAAAGCTAACCCACCTCCCCAAGCTTTCTCACGGCCTGGCTAAACAATCTCAGCTCTCACCTGTATTTTGAGGTGGGCCATCTTCCAGACCCAGGTTCTTCAAACTGCAGACAGCCAATTCTGAATTCCCCTCTCATCCGAGGACACTCCCCTACTTGAATTCAAGGCCTTAGACTTCAATTATAATATGATGTAGACTGGAAAATTTGCAAAGTAAAATATTCTGTGTCTGAGGAAATATATATACTGTTAACCACAACTGGAAACCAAAAAGAAAAAAAGGCAATATAATGTGAACAAGTGTCATAAACACCACCGTTTTTGTAATAATTTCAGTGTTGTTGAGCTTAATAATTTAAATATTATTGTAAAATGTTTTAGCATTTCATGAGACTGGTCATTATCTTGTGAAGTGCTGCAACAGAATGAGAAATTTATTAAGTGTAGTAAAATTCAGTTTTTTGTGCAATATTTATTTATACTATTTTATAAAATTACTTACTCTTAGCTATAGCATAAAAATTGTTCTCTGTGGCTCTGCAGTAAAAGAAAAAAGCCTTAAACTTTATGTATTCCAAATGGGTTGATTTGCAAGTATCAAAATCAAAGCTTAAGAGCTCCAAGAGTACGTTCTTAATAAAATAGTTGTACTGAGTTTGTTACTTCTGGAAAAGATGGCATTCGGAAATGTGTTTAGACTAAAGACAGCTGCATACAGCAGATAGAAGCTGAGGAAATGAGGGTAAGGAAGCAGTTGTAATATTTCTCCTTTCCTCTTCCATGTCTGTGTATAAAGAGGGAGAAGCAATTTGTCATCTCTGCTCCATCAGTTGGTTGGCTTCCCTCCATGTGAGCCATGGGAGGAGCGTGCTGCAAAAGTGAAACACACATGCAGTGGGGGAGCAGCAGCAGAAGAGTAATTTAATTCAAGCCAAATTATTTATTTTCCTTTTGTATAAAAAAACCCTGAATTTCAATGTGTGGTCTTTAAAATATTTTTCTGCTGGAATGGAACTTCTCTCTGTAAAAGGTAGGTTTTTCTTATCAAGCTCCTTCATCCATGTGACAAGTATTTAGTACGTAACTATGGGAAGTAACTTCAGAGAGTAGACTTGTGTATTGCTCATTTATATTGATGAGAATATTTCTTGCAGTACTTCCTCCAAGGGAAGCATGTAAATTGTGCTCTCTCATAGAGCAGTTGAATTGCTGCAGTGTTTGGCCTCTGTTTGTAGCCCAGCAACACTTAGGCCCCTCAGCATATGTGTTGAAAATTTCCTGGCGTGAGACATGGTGGAATTATTGGGGCTGACAGATATTCTGCCAGATATGGTGCAGTTCCATAGAGTTCTTAGGAATATTTAGGGAGAGATGAAAGCAAGAATAAGTAATAGGAAAGTACAGGTGATTAAGCAAATGGAAAAGATATTGGAAAATAACAGCAATCTCTTGGGAATCTTTACATTGTAAAGTTGTGGACTCATAATTTTGTTTTATTAGCAATTACAAGGTCCTAAGTATAGCAATAAAGTATATGATGTATACATAAATATATACAGAGCAGGTTTGATTATTTTAGGACTACAGTGATGTTTCATTCAGATTAAACTGAACTGTGGTACATGTATTGACATGGCAGGGAAATTGAAATAATATTTAATATTGTTTAAAATATTAAATTTACTGAACTTTATTAGTCAGAAACTTGATAAAAAATTATGACCAAGTTAAATTTTCATACCTATAACTGCCTGAATCACAGTCCTGTTAGCTTCAGAGCATTTTCATTAATGGAAAACATACCATAATGTGGAACTTTAGTTGTTGAGCAAAATTAGGATTTGAAATGTTCACTTTTTATTTGGTAAGGTGTTTACTCAAGTATGTCCTTTCTAATGGGCAGATTAAATACGCTGTAATAAAGGATTCGTTGTGAAATGACAGATATTATTTTAGATTATATACAGTCTTCTGGGACTATTACAGGGAAGAATTAAGAACTGGCATTATGAGATGATGAATAATTAGTATAATACCCTTCCTGGACACCTGGCCTCCATTCTGCCCTCTGTGTTAAGTTCCTGTAAAGTACAAAGTTTTCACATACCTTCTTTCCCAATGAATTCCAAGCAGTCATATTATCTTCCCACAGTGATACTTTTTTTAAGATTACTTGTTTTCATTTTTGGATGAGTTTCTTTATACCACATAAATCTCTCAAATTTTATTTTTCATAAAACTTGTTGGAAAACACTGTTAAGGTATTATCTGAAATTAATAATATGATTTGTCTGATTTTTTTTAAATACAGTGAAAAAAGGAAGGTTGGATAAAACAACTGGTAAGTCTAGTTCCCCCTTGGATTTCTGCTTTACATTTTTCTTTCTGAGGTATGGAGTTCTGTATTACACTGAAGAATCATTTAAGCTTGGGACTACTTTGACACACTGGATCAACAGTACAGTTCAAAGTAAATGTGTAAAGAAAATGCATATATTTTAAAGATTAAATTATCAACCTAAGTTGTGAGCTGAGACAATTTGTAATTTTAAGTTATGAAGTGTTATTGTCTTGCAAGCTAGTGATATTTAAAATATATTTCCACTGCAGCAAAGTTTTACATAATTTGATGACCTAAATGTGTCACTGGCCAATAGAAACTTTTCTTAAATAAGGAGAGTTTAACTTAACCGGGATGGGAAGGAGATGGTGTCTGAGTTTTCCTGGTGAGAAAATACAGACAAGAGACACTGATGGACAGTTATAGTGACCAGGTATTACCTTAGGCAATAAATATGAGCAAAACCAAGCTGCCCAGGTGTACACAAGTCTGTCTCAAGGACCAAGACTTAGCCATGATGGAAAAGAAAGTCCAGACACAGCCAGAGGTTTCTCACACACAAGTAGACTGTGAATCTAAGGCCTTCAAGAAGTTTGTACTTACTGTTTCTCGGGAAAAGCCGATATACAACTTAATCAGTGCAGCAAAAATTACCAGTAGATGTCTGACTAATAGATGTAAGCTAATTACAACTGTTTAAAGTTATCTGGATTCAAGAAAGGTTACCTGAATGGACACAGGTAAAACTGCTAGTTCTTCTAACAACAGGCTATGAAATATGTATGAAAAGTATAGACTGAAAAGTCTTTTCTCTTTCATTGAGATCCTAATGCAATCAAAAATGTTATAATATTATATTTTGCTAGTACTCAAGAGGTGATAATTTACAGAACATAATTATCAAAATAATTTGATAGAATATAAGTAACTCTAATTTTCCTTTAAATGCTGTTGAGTCTTGTTAATGCCATAAGTACTGGCAATGAAGTTTGGTATATTCTCTGATAATTGATCATGTTTTCTTGGGCAGAACAATTTTGTAGGTGGTGAATGAGAGCAGTCTTGAAATGCCCACATTTCTCAAAACTCTGTGATTCTCCTTTAGTTTATTTACTCCTTTGTGTAAGCTGCTCTCCCCTGTTTTGGGTTGAAAGCTGAAGATATGAGCAGGTGGATATCCTGCCCTATTTCTTTTCACAAAAATTGCATTATGTGCCTCCAGTTTTTGACAGGTTGGAAGATGCAATAATGGTTTTGTGGAAACAAAACTTCCTATCATGTAGCAAAATTGACAGCTCTTCTCCACTGCTAGGGTATTGTAATGATATTCAACCTTGACAGTGTTATTCTTCAAGGAGGTTACATATGCAGTTATTTAAAAGATAGAGTATCTACATTTTCTTATTTGACATAACTCATGGCATTTAAAGAGGGTGCATTAGTCAAAAAGCACTGAAGGGTAAGGTTTAGATCCAGAGAAGAGCCAAAGAGGCCAAGGAAGTATTGGAGAAACAGCTGTTTTAAAAAGGAGATGGCAGGGTTTCAGGCAACACTCTAATGCAGGCAATCCAAGATATTTTTTATTTTTCATGCTAGAAAAGGAGCTGCAAAAGGATACCAGGTGATTAAGTTTGATCATCTGGTGTGGCACATACTAACGTGAAACTTTCAAACTGGAAATTAGAGTTGGATATGAAATAATGCAATAGTGAAACAGAATGCCACTAAAATTGTGAGTTTAAGTTTTACCTTGTAATTTATAGCTTCATTTAAAGAAGATTCCTTTTAATTTATGAGGGAAGCTGGTATTGTAGTTTTAATTTACATGGGTGCTCTAAATGGCTGAAGTTAAATGTTGTAGGTTGCTGTTTTTCAGCCAAGCAATTTAGAGTTCTTTTGAAAATTTCTCAAACTTTGAGTTACAAGTTCTCCCAACTATAAAAAAGTTTTGCAACTACAAAAGATTTTGCAAATTTTTTGTTTTGTTTGCCTCAGTTACACAGAATGATGGTGTATGAACCATGTCTTGTTGATGCCATTTCTCACATATGAGTCACCAGACTCCTAAATTAATATTGACTTTGTCACGTTTTTTCAGTATAAAAACAAAGTCATATTTGAGAAGACTGGTCCACTAAGTTATAGAAAATAAATAGATAACATTGGGCACTGTTGACTTTTTTTATTAAAAAAAAAATTCCGTTACATGATAGCTTTAGTTCTTTGGTCAAATATTATAATTGGTCCTAACAATAAGATCTACATCCAGGATGTACACAGCCAACGCTTCCCCTTCACACCTTTTGTTAAGTGCAGTGTAATTTGATACAACCTATCCAGTGATCTATTGTAGACACTGACAGCTTCCCTCCAGCTCCGAGTGTTTGATTGACCTCTGGTAATACAGACAGTTCACAAATTCTGTGCTTGGCTATGTCTTGTATATATGTATTTTGGCAGTGCTTGTATCAAGTCTTTTTTTCAGTCATGTGTCAATGTTAATCCTTGCCTAGGATGCTGGAGGGTAGTGAAGAACTGTTACATGCATGCAAACTAAAAAGCCATGTTCATTGAGATGATAGAATGTGCCATTGCAGCCTCAGATTCCTGTGTCAGGCCCTACAGGAAAGAGCTTTCCCTCAGTTCTTTTGCTTTTTTCTGTCAGTGATATTTTCAAGCACTTTGAAATTTAAAAAATTTTATTCTTTTTGCTTATTAGGTCTGATTTTATGAATACTCACACAGTGTCTTTTCAGAGGGATTTATAAAAATCCATGAGTTCATTTGCGACTGCATCTGAAACCCATTTTGCTGCTGCATCTATACACAGAACTCGATTCATGCACAAAGACTGAATTACACGTTACAAGTCTATGGCCTTGCCTTAATTGGACATAAAACCCATTAGCCAGTCCTCAGTATTGTCGTATCAATTAAAAGGCAAAAAAACTTCCTAATTTGCAGAAAAGGAGTGTGTACTGGTTTCTTGTGAGACCTGACAGAGAAATACATAAACAGTAAAAAGCTGTGTCTGGAAGCTGATCTTTAAAATACTCACATTTAGGATTATGTTCTCTCCCACCTGTCATGGGCAGAGATTTTCCTGTCATAGTCCTACTAAAACTAATAAGAATTTGGTTGTTCACATCCACGTATTTGACCCACACCAGTGAAGGTGTGCATGAGGTATGAGTTAAACCCTTGCTGCCATATGGTTGTGTTTTCATCTTCTGGAAGGAACTAAAGTCGTGTTTAATGTGCTTCTTATTTGTTTTTCAGAAACATCCAAAACATATGTTGTTTTAAAAGTCCAAAATTTAAAAAGCACTACAATAGATAGAAGAGGAAGGGAGCCTTGCTGGGAACAAGACTTCATGTTGTAAGTAAAAGGGAATTCTTATCAATTGATTTTGTTGTATCTTTGATATATTTGTGTAGTATAGAACAATGTAGTGCATGTGAGGTCATGTACAGAGCACGAAAGCAAGGGAAAAGTGTCCAGCTCAGAGAAAAGGTGCCAGGCTAATTCTGCAGAACACAACTAAAGTTAATTTTGCAAGCCACATGACAGATCAAGGCCAGCAGTCAACAAGGTGAAGAATTTGTCTCCAAATTTAATTTCATATAATGTTTTAGGAATACACGGAATGAGACAATAAAGAACTCAAACCAATCCTCACCTAAATTGTTTTTTGTTCACTCTGTTTCATTATGATATATTCTAATTTTGCACATTAATTTATCTACTTAACTGCCAGTTTAGATACTTTATTTATCATTGACTCATACTGATTCTCACTTCTGCCTGCAGATCTTTGCCCACTTTACTCCACTCTCCATCTTGTTATTCAGTTGTTATTCTCTTTTCTGTAGAGCTTTATATACACCTTAATTTGCAGTGTACTAATTACCAAAGAATACTAAACCACTTTTGTAGCAATTGCATTACAAGGTTGCTGTAGCTCCATCTGCTGCCTACTCATCTATACAACACAGCAGAGTTTGAAAAGGGATTATAAACAAGCATTTACAAATATATTCATCTAGATTTTGATAAGTATACTATAGTTCATTATCTTAAGGACTCTCACTCTATGTCTGCCAGTGAAAACTGTGTTCCATTACTTGCAGATATTACCAGTTTGCATTTCAAAAGTACTACTTAAAATTAATGGAGATTACATCAAATGAGTCCAGCAGAGACACCAATACCTACTTTATTATATTGTTCATATTTACAGAACTGGTCTGTAACGGGGAGCATTCCCTGAAGAAATGATCTCTCTCTTAATTCAATGACATGAGGGAGTGATATGGCCTGGTAAAATTTGATTTTGAATTCTTGCAAAATATGGTTGTGGTACAGTATTTTTTGGTCAAAACCAGCTAGTAGTAAAATGCATGTATCCTTTAGTTACAACTAAAATAAAGTCTGGATCTGCAGCTTTTGAATTTGAGAGATGTCTTCCCATTGTTGCAGCAGAACTGTCCTCATTATTTGATAAAGGCAATCCTGAACAATAAGACTTGAGAGTCTTGTTCAGTCTAACATTTGTGTTCATCCTGCTAGTTTGTATTTTACAAGTATACTGAAAAACCCCCAGCTCTGTATCTGCTGTAAGAAGATAAAAATAAATTGCTGTGATAGATTGCTGAGCAATTGAGATTACATTTTCATTTTAATGATCTCTGTATTCATTCTTTATAGTGAAATCTGTGCTGATGGAAAGGGCTTCATTGTAGAGCTGTGGAAGAAAGGCTTGCTCTGGGACAGCATTTTAGGAGTTTTATGGATTCCCCTTGCCACTGTGGAATATGCAACCGATGTAAGCTGACTTCCTGTGGAAATATAAAGCACTGAGTAAAATCCAATAAATTTCCCATTCTTGGACTCCCCAAATACTGTAACAACAGTTGTGATCAATGTATACTTCTAACTCCTTTGCTTCAGTTGTAATATTAAGGCTCAATATATGTGTGTCTCTCAAAGTGACAATTGGTGGGCATCAGCCGTATACCCTGGAGAAATGGCTCAGACCTTGGGCCAAGTATAACACAGAAGGTGAGCTAGGTTCAGCAGAACTTAGAAACAATTAGAGAGGCAGGCATGTTTGGTTTATATGATTAGAGTGAAAGAATTTTAGATCAAGTTCCTTGGTCTGGCTCTTCATTTTGTGACCTTGGGTAAATCTCTATTAAAATGGGCACAGTACTGTTGTTCTCTTTCTCATGGAAATCGACCATTGTCTCAAAGAGGAAAACAGAAATTTGCCCTGTGGTGCTATAGAAGAAATTAACAGTACAGTGAGGACAAAGGAAAGGCTGAGTGGGAAGCTGGGTCAATATAGGAGTTATGTATCCACCATAGTCATTTGGCCATCAGAATGACTAGACTTGCTTCCAGTAGGGAGTTCTTATTTTATTAAAAAAAAAAAAAAAAAAAAAAAAAAAGGGTTTCTGGGAGTGTGGAAATACTGAAGTAAACTGCAATTGCTGCAAAATTTTATAAATTTGGAAGAGGTAAGAGGTAACAATCCACAATTCTCCCAATCATAAATATGCTTTCATATGCATAGTCCCTGGAGGCTGTTTTTAAAGAAATAATTGCAAAGTAGAGATTAAATCAATCCTTGCAAATAAAAATTGTTTGCCTTCTTTAATATTTATAAAACATAGAAAGGCACTTGAAGATGGGATAAAGGTAAGAAAATCAGAGAATAATTTCATGCAGTATCTTTAATCAGACTCTATAGCCATTTCTTTACAGGAACTAATAAATATTAATATATACATTGAACTGACATTTCAATGATTCTTCTCAGAAAATGGAAACAGAGGAAGAAAGTAATTCCTGCTTAAATTAGAAGAGGCTCTGTATCACAGCTGCCAAGTGCCACTTCAAGCCCCAGGGCAAGTTGTTCTGCTCTGCTGCCCAAGCTGTTGCTGAGTTACAACTTGCTGACACAGAGGTTGTGGCTTGCTGTAAATACTGAAACTTTAAACAAACAAAGATGCAAGATAAGAGATTGTTTCTTAATTTCTTCAGATCCTCTAGACCTTCATTTATAATTAGTCCACTGTGGAACATTCCTAGTTATTTATCCTCCTGGTCTTAACCCTGCAGTTCTTTTCCTGGGCTTTATAACTCAGAAATAACCTACAAGGGAGTGTTACTTTAGAAGCTCTTTTTTGGCTTGGTTGTTAACTTAAATGGATTGTTTCAGTCTTGCTAGAGTGTACTTGTTTGGCACCAGTTCAAAGGGGAACTGGAAAATCTTTGTTGATAAGAGTAATTTTCAATATTAATATTTGTCGTGTCTTAATCATGTGACAACCTTAATGTCTATTTATCTGTATTGTTGTGCAAACATAATATTTTTAATTTGATGACTGAGAAATCTTGAAGTCCTAACTAGTACATCAACAACAGCTGGGAAATACTAAAATGGTGTTGTAAAGGAGCTCCTACTGACTTGGGGGAAACTTCATTCAGTAAAACGTGGATAATGCTATAAATGTTGCCCAAGTAATTTCCATAACCTGTTTTTCCTAGGAAGGCCCAGGTTCCTGGTGGAGATTGCATTCTGAAGTAATAAAAAATGGAAGTGAGATTCAAGGCACGAAAACACCCACTTCTCATGAGATCTTACTAGATATCTACTTTGCACTACCATTTGGTGAGTTACAGATTAAGGTCCAGCATTCCAGACATTCTATTTCTCTGTAAGTTCCTGTCATTTCACCTACGTTCCTGAAATATAACAACAAATAGAAATTTTTCTATAGAATCCTAAATGTCTGTTCATCAGTGGAGCATTTTCACAATTGATACTGGTAATTTTTACTGGTAATTAAGAACCACATCCCACAAGGAGCTGGATGAGCAGTTTCAGTAGCCAGTGGTGACCCTCATGTGGATTGCAGAGCTAAAGGAAATACCTTCTTCAGGGTGTGTTACAGCTCTGCAGCACATCAGCTTTGACCAGTGCAAAAGGGAAGTTTGAATAAAATCCAGGCCTACACAGCATTTTTTACCTTCCTAGCAAAGGTTGTCCGCCTTTATTTTAGTGTATATGAGGATGGAAACTATTTATATTTCTCTGTATATTAATGTAGTGTATATGAAAGCAGAAATGGAAACGGAACTTCAAATAATACATCACCACACATTGCTTCCAGATATATGATTGATCTTACTAAGATTATCAGTCCATCTATATGAGGTGGTCTATCTCCAAATAAGGTCACAAACATAATTTTGCTTAACATTTTACTCTTTAAATAGTCTAATGAACTGTGCCTGAAAACATTAATCCTAAAATTTATGCAAGAATAAAGTAAAAAGAAGTTAAGTGCAAATAAGAAACTATATGAAAAGGAAGGAGGACTAGAAGTCATACCAATAATTAGCTCTTTGATTGTCTAATTTATTTTTAAAATGCATTGTCTTTGATTAACCTTGGTAAATTGTTTTTGGGTGTAGTCTGCATGACTACAGTCCTGTTAATACATCAGGTGGAATCCATATCTTTTCACAGAGTGTTTCTTACAAGCTGCAACATAGTCTACCTTTTTTTTCACCTTTCTTTTTCCTTTTCTTTTTTTTTAACAAAATTTGTTTCTTCTTTACTACTTGACCAAAAGAATTTCAAAATATCACCTCTGCTAATGCACTAATTGTATTCCAGATTTTGTTTGCTTTGGTTTTTTGATAAGTTGAATTAGCAGAATGTTTTATGTCCTTACATGATTCTCATATCTAGAAACCTTTGTAAATCTGGTATAGGATGTCTAATTGTGTGTTTACAAGACGTAAATTCAGACTTTTGGTTATTTCAGGCTGCTGCTTGGAGAGAGCGTTGGCTTGTATGTTGAAGCTTGTATTCTAATTTCAAACAAATATACTTGAAAAAGTTCCCAAGGCAGGCCCTGGCACCGTAGTCACAGAGTGCTGTGAAAATCCTGTAGAGGTCACTCTTATGCTGTAGTTTTCTTCATAGAGGCAAGAATTCAAAAGCATTATGTCTTGGTTATTGAGAAAGCCAGGATTACCATCTACTTGGGGTTTGGCAAGGGCATTTTCATTGCTTGTCCTATTGAATGACTCAGCTCAGTTGTGAGCACCTGAGAATGTGTCCTTAGCTATTGGAATCAGTACAGCCTCTTTATTATGACAAATTACACTGGAAAGGTAGAAGAGTGCAGTTACTTTTGACAATTTCTGAAAGATGTTCATTTGAGAATGCCAGATAATGGGCAGAAATAAAGGATCCTCCCATGCTCTTTTAATAGCATGACTTCATTTGAAGTTGAAATCCTGCATGAAGTACCATGGAAATGTGTTCTCATCAGTAGTTCAGTGCCTTTTCTAGAAGTATCATCTAATGTCAGTTGTGGTAGCAATAAAGTTGACATTTCACCGTTGTGAGCTAGACTGAGTTCTGTTAAAAGGCTGCTAAGTAAAATGAATACCTACTATATTTAAAATTCTGCAAGCAAAGTCACAATAATAAAATACTGACTTTAGATAAACACTGCAGTTGAATTACAAACATGGATTATCAGGGGTTTATGAAATAAGATAATTTTCCTTCAAATTTTTTAGGTCTTTCTTTGTAGGCACACAGTTTGTGGTAATTAGGAGAGGAGCTGTGGCCCAGCCTCGTCCCCAGTGGGCACAGCTGTGAGCAGCAGGTGAGCAGCACTGACAGCAATGAGCCATGGAGTGCCCAGGGCACTGACCAACCACCAAAGGGAGCAGAGGGCACACAGGGGCAGTGCATGAACACGCGAGGGGGATAAGAGGTTGGGCTGAAGAACAAGGAAGAGCAGATGATTGCAGCCTTCTGAAGTGACATGGTGTTAGTCTGTATGGGCAGGCTCCTGAAACCTTCTGATGTGGTGTTACTGTGTATGGATTAATGCTTAAAGCCTGCTGGAACTGTATGGTGGTATTTTGCATATCGTGGCTGTCTCAACTGTGACGTATGCGGTGAAATTTCTCGTAAGAGACGACACAAGAAAATTTCTTCTTCCTTTTTTTTCTTACTTTCTCCTTCTTCCTTTTTTTCTCTTCCTTCTTCCTTTTTTCCCTTCTTCCTCCCTTTTTTTCCTCCTCCCCTTCTTTTTTTTTCTCACTTTTTTCTTGGAATTTAGCATTAGGGATAAGTAGCTTGCTCCTTAACATTATTATACCTTACATAGACAGTATAAGCTAAAGAAATTAAAGATAACTTTACTGAAGTAATTGGTAATAGCTGTAATTTGGGAGCTAAGATGTCATTTTGCCAAGTAGCCTACTAAAAGTCAATGGAACTTTTACCTCATTAATAATTTTGGAAAGTACCATGCAGAACTCAAGTCTTAGCCTTGGTTTTAATTCCACTCATTATCACAAATTTCATATACATTAATTAGCAAATAAAGTGACAAGAACAAAGTAGCATGATGAGATTTAATCCCTGTTTCTGCATTAGTCACCATACTAATGCACTGATACACCAAGGGATTAGCAAAAGAGAAAATTAATTGTTCTGATACAACTTTGATCAGCAAAAATAAGAGTCCTGAAAAATCATAATAGACTGACTGTGAAAATGCCTGCATCACTGTGTAGAATTCTAAGTACAAACCACTTTAGTTAGCATAATAATTCACGTATACTGACAATTTAAAAGTTTGCACTAACATATGCGGCAGGAAAACTGAAAGATTCTGTTTTCCAAAATTTTGTCTTTATCTTTTGCATGTTTCACAACAGTATTGTATTCACTTTGAGCAAAAGATATGCTATAAATTCCTGGCAACTTACCTAGTGTTGGTAAACGCTGTGATGGAAAATAAATAAAAGCATTATTCCCAATCTGTAAGCAAAACTTTAAAAATGGAAAAAGAGGTGGGTATGCGAAGTCTTATCATCATCATGGAAGAAAACTTCTTCACAATCCGGGTCATGAACCCTTTTCTCTCACTAAAGCTAATAGGATGATTTATAGAGCAAAATGTTCTGCAGGGAATCAATTTGTACCTCCAGTTGCAGACTTGTTGCATTTCCCCCAAGAGCCTAGAGCTGGGAGAAAATAAAGCCCCTCAGTTCTAGGCCAATAGCACATGGAATTAAAGTACAGCCTGATTCCCTACATAAAGCAAACACACAAAAACCCCCACAGAACTAAAATCCAATCAAACAAAAAAACCTAGATCTCAGAATGCTGTGCGTGGAGCCATAAAAAAATACATGGCAAATTGAAATGGAAAACTTAAAAAGATCAATTTTCTTCCTAATCCAGCAATAGATATTCTTTTAAACTGTAAAATTAACTTTGTATTACAAGAAAGTGACTGGTCTAGGCCTCTCAAAGTTTTTAGAGTACCAATCAGAAGATTATCTTGCAACTGCTTCTGCTGTTCTTGTAACAAGTGATTTAATCATTACTGTGTTTGCAGTTGATTTGATAATTCCCTGTTATGATAGATTTAATGAATGAAGATAATTAATTTTATGTATTGCTTCCTCTTTTAGAAGTAAAATGGGCTGAAAGATTTCCAGCAGCCTTTTCTTTCTCTACAGATACCAACAGAGATTTAGATTGCAGACATTTGCACAGAGTGACACCCCTCCAATGTACAAGACATTCACATCAAGATACAAATGACAGTCAGACATCCATGGAAAGTGGGCTCAGCATACAAGAAAGCAAACTCAGGTATTTTACCTTGTCACATCAGACATGTGTGTTGTCATTTGTTGATTTTAATTTTTTTAAAATATCTGAATGTCAGCATAATACATACAAAACTATTTTAAGCAAGCGTATGAAAGTTTCTTAAACTTTAAAGAGAATGCAGGTATTTATTAGCTCTTCTATGTTCTTTTATGACAAATACATGTGCACCTGTCCTGTTCTCATCCCTGGGCATGTGTCTACATAGGGTTCAGCTATTCCATAGTGACTTCCTGAAATATTGAGAAAGGAAGGGAAGCAACTCCTGATATGATTTGGGTATTGTAACTATTCTGTTTCATCTGGAAAGCAGGAAAGACATTTGATTCCATTTTTGAAACTAGTGTATTTACCTAGACAGGCTGTCGGCATTTCTGGAAGTTTTCTAGAAGAGAATATTTTCTATCTATTTCTTCTGAACAAACAAGATTGCAGGGGAAAAAAAGAAAAGGAGAGGGGGGAAGATAATTGCTGCCTTTCTGCTTTTCTGAATGCGAAAAATGATGATGCATTATGGTGGAAGGGGCAAGGAATAAGGTGGCAACAACTGTACTATTTTTGTGCCATCACCTTCTGCTGAGTGGAGTTGAATGCTCAGGAGGGAGCCCAGTCAGCCTCTAAGAACGCTCAGCAGTGGTCTCTGAGCAGGGAGAGCTTTCTCCATGTTGGAATAATGACTTCACTTCTTTTGAAAGGCAAGCTGGTGAGGTAAAAAGTTCCCTCTACTGTTCATTTTGGCTTTCATAGCAGCTGTCACAGATGTATTACCTTTCATTCATGGTGTCTTTTATCCACAGCAGCGCAGGAAAGGCACTGTGAGCAGCTGACACTCCAAAAGGTGTTCTGCCTTGATGAGGGGCAGAAAAGGCTCTTGGGAAAGGTAGCCAGAATATTTGGTGTGTCAGGCACTGTTGAAATAATGTCTAACAGCAGTGGTACTAGAAAATTAGCTCAAACATGAGAGAAAAAACAATAAAAACTAATACATTATTAAGTCATGTATTCTCTGAGGCAATAATGACTTGTTGCCCTTAAACCACCTTTTCATGTACTTTAAAAAAGCAGGGTCCTGGTACATGTAACTTCCATCCAAAATTAGGAAAGAAACGAGTGTACAAGAAGCTCAAGCTCAGGGTTGCAGTTAGAGACTGCACGTGGACAGGGTGCCACAGCATTGCTTGGGTGCCTGTCAGCCTCACCGTTTACATTTCCAGTCAGCCCTTGCAGGGTATTTACAGAGAAGTACAAGTGCTTCCTCGGGGTGAGAGCTGTCAGTAATGGCAGCACTCAAGAGCTGTTTCTCTGTGTTGTTCTAAGCACATGTCCAGTCATTAGCATATCATCTGTGCTGACGTTTCATTTTCGACAGAGATCCGAGCCTCTGAGCAGGTTCAACTAAACCAAAAGAAGTTAACCCAATCTGACTATGGAATTCTTTCCTTTACTCCTTTGTACCAAATAATTTTATTGAAATTCAATGAACTTTTATAGTACTAAATTGAGGGTCAGCACTAAACTTTTATTTTTAGATGAAAAGTTCTTTTATCTGTATTTATAGGTATTTATACCTATATTTATATAGGTATAAATAGAGATATTTACCTATATTTCATCTTATATTTATATTTTCTTTAATATTTATAGATATTTTCAAAGATTCAGAGCAGAAATATGATTGTTTTAAAACTTAGAGATGTGTATTTATTCCAAAAAACTGCATTTGTACTACAAATCTGGGATGTGGATGAGACTATTTCTTTTGCTGTATTAAACACCAAAAGTAACTGTCTTGTAAATATTTAAGTATTAATATGTTCCAAATTTCTTCCTGAAGTGTTTTTTTAGACTGTTATTTATTCATCAGTTATGTACATAAGTCATGTTTATGGCTTCTGACTATAGGTGTAGAGTGATAACTAATTAAGTGTAACTAAGTAACATTTTCCCATAAAGCAAAAGCTCACTCAATCAAAATTTGAAGGACGTGGTAAATTATTAAGTAACCTCTTATTGGAGCAATATTTTTTTTTCCTGGAGGCTTAAAAAAGAAGGCAGACAGAGAAGGGGAAAATACTAGTAAAAAAAACCCCAAAACCCATAAATCATCTGAGTTTTTCTATAATGTAATTAATGAGTGAATCACCGAATTTTTGAAAATCAGCAGTTAAGTGTTTACTGTAGACTTCATTGTACCTCTCCATAGTAGCCACAGGATAAATCAGTTGGTTCACTCGTTAAAGATTATTAGTATCCAGTGCTGAATGCTACTACTTGTAGGAATAATGATTTCATGGTTAAGCTCTGTGGCACCACTGAGGTAGAAATAACGTTGCTGTATATCCAGAATAGCCACAAATGTACAGATATACCTGTTAAGCATAAACTAAAGTGACCAGCATAAAATTGACTAGGGGCATTTCCAAAACAAGCAAAGTGGAGCAAATATTTCTTTCAAAAGCAATCAACTAACCCCAAAATTTAAGGAAGTACAGCAACAGGGACAAGGATCTTTCTTTTTAAAAGAATATTGATTTGTCCTGTGATACTTGTTTTTGCTGTAGAACTGTAAAACAATAATTTAACAAAGAGAAAAAAGATTTGATTACATTAAAAAAAAAAGGCAACTAAAATCCATTATTTGGATGTATAATAAATCATATATGTTTCTTTCTTTCTACCTACGTAGGCCACGTGAATAGATGTCATGTATACCTACACAGGAAGGGTGCTGCTCACAAAATATGCTAGACCTACATAGCTTGTATTGACAAATTTGGGGTTGAGTATCTTGTTCTAAAGTGTTTGGCTTTAATAGTGCTTCCTCTTTTCTAATGGTTTGGGTACTGTAACTGCTGTGTTAAAAGGAGATGTATAACTAAAATTGGACTTCACGACCTGCAGCCACTAGCAAAGTTGATTTTATGTAATCATTAAACTGATATTAACTAAAACAGTGATTTGTGACAGTAAAATGCATATTTATTTTCAGATGGATGAAATAAGAAAAGAAAGCTTCAATGTGATAGTATTAGAAGTTTCTTAATGCTTGAAACATCGTGAGCATTAAATGGCCTCTTAAAAATGTAATTAATCTTTCCTGGTTTCTAGAGAGAAGCAAACAATTGCTGAGGTTTAAATTAATTTGAGGTGATCAGTTTACAGCCATTTTTCCAGTAATGTGTTTCATTATTCATGCCTAGATAATAGAAAGAATGATAGACAAGCATTAAATTATTTCTAAACCATGAAAATTTCCACCTCCACCTCTTGGCTACAGGTTATGAACTCCTTAAACTAAAGGCATATTTCCATGCATAACCATCTGTTTAAACAAATAGTGTTTGAATATATACATTTGTTTTCTGTTGTGATCAATCAGTGAGAGATCTCTCAAATTTAAATTACAGAATAAGTAAGCATAACTGATTTTCTATAACATGTTATTGCTTTGTTTTTATTGCCAAAAAGAAATAAGGGCCAAAAGAAAAAAAAAGAGACATCTTTAACAAAAGATGTCTATAACATGCAAAGCTTTTGGCTATGAACATCCCCTGGTTCCCAGCTTTCAGAACTGGCAGATTATTTTCAAAATATAAAAATAATTCAACATTATAGTGAATGATTGGTGGTTTTGCATTTAATTATTATTCGTAGGCTGTTCTCTAAACTGAAGGTGGTTTAGGTCATGTAACTTGTGTGTTCTGAAGGCAAGTTAAAAGGACTGTTTACATCAAAACCCATGAACCAAGAGGCTTCCCTGAGTCTGAGCTATTTTCACATGTTAAAGAGCATTCCTCTAAGCTCTTTGGCTCCCTGGACAGCTTTGTTCTGCTTGCCTTACAGAAAGCAGTGTGGGTAGGAAGGTATTCAGCTTGAGGTGATGTTTACTCTTGTATAATAAATTAATCATTTAAAACTCTGAATAAATGTTGTTATTAATTTATATAATTACAGTAAGGCAGATCTTTTCAGTAAGAGTCTTATGTAAAATTAAACCCTTTGTGTACCAGCACAGTGCTGAAAGTTCATTCCACTGTACCCCAGGCTTAATTCTCATCTGTCACTCAAACTCACATCCTCATTGATGCTCCTTCCTGCTCTGCTGCCCTTTCCTATTTCAGTTCCACCCTCTTGCCTTTCTCAAATGTGTTTCCTTCAGATCTTCTGTGGCCTAAAACTGTTGCTCTTGAATCTATTAAAAGTACTACTTTAAAAGGCTCCTTTAAAAATGTTTCTAAATAATTTTAAAGACTGTTACAGTAGCTCTGTACAGCAATGGGAATACAAACAAAATTTAAAAGAGATGGAGAACACTAAGTCTCATACATACAGTAAATTTGAAGTTTAACCAATTTTTATGGGCTTTTTATGTCTCTATAATTATGACAAGTTCACAATTATTACCCATTTAAGTAGTATATTTTAAATTGTTTTGAGTAAAAAATTGGAAAAGAAGATAAGCTAGCAGTTAACAATATAGACAGAAAATATTTTACTTGAAAGGGATTGAGAAAAAGGACACTGAGATAACTGAGGAAAATTTAAGGAATTGAAGATTGTGTCAGAAAAAAATCCCAGTTAATTACATATTAAGTTGTTAGGAAGTGTAGTATGGAACCAGACAGATTTATTTTGTAAGGCAATTTGCAGTTTAGAACAAATGATGGTGAGCTGATGTGACATGTTGATGTGCATTTTCTTTCCTAAAGTTATCCGAAATACATTTTGGTAAGTTATTTTTGTTTGACTGGTTTTGAAGTTAAATGCTTTAATTGACATCCTGAAGTTCTCAGTAGAATCTATTTAAAAAATTTTAGTAGCTATGAATCCAATCTTTGTAGCACATCTGAAAGCCAGACTTTTCATACCTAGCTGGGTTTGTACAAATGTGCGGGATTAAGGCCATAGGTAAGCGAAGATGAGCTGCTGCTCCCAAGGGAGGGGCACCGAGGCAGGATAACACAGCAAGCAGGGCAGGGCCA